GGGACGTGATGAGGTCATGAGGGCTCTGCAGAATGGGATTATCCCCTCACGGAAGACACCCCAAAGAGATCCTATGCCACTTCTGTATGTGGTTACTTCAAGAAGATGGCTGTCTGTGAACCAGGAAAAGGGCCTTCACCTGATACTGAATCTGACTGTACCTTGATCTTTGACCTAATCTCCAGAACTGGGAGAAATAAATTTGTGTTGTTTATTAACTACCAGCCTGTGGTATTTTGTTATAGCAGCCTGAATGGACAGATACAGTGAAAGCAGTGCCAGGAGGGAAATTCATAGCAATAACTACTCAAATTCAAAAAGAAGAAAGATCTCAAAGATTAAGTTAAGGAATTTTTCACAGGATTCGGTTTAAAAAGAAGAGTGCTGGAAAGGATGTAAATTAAATAACATATGAGTTAAGCAAAAAGTTTCAATATCCAGCTACAAGGCATTCTAGAATGAGAGAATAGAAAAAGCAAATGGGAAATTACTGAAAGAAGTAATGAGATTTTTTTTTTTTTTTTGAGATGGAGTCTCACGTTGTCGCCCAGGCTGGAGTGGAATGGTATAATCTCCACTCACTGCAACCTCCACCCCTCTGCCTCCCGGGTTCAAGTGATTCTCCTGCCTCAGTCTCCTGAGTAGCTGGGAATACAGGCATGTGCTACCACACCGAGCTAATTTTTTGTATTTTTAGTAGAGATGGGGTTTCAGCGTGTTAGCCAGGATGGTCTCGATCTCCTGACCTTGTGATCCACCCGCCTTGGCCTCCCAGAGTGCTGGGGTTACAGGCGTGAGCCACCGCTCCCGACTGGTTTTGAACTTCTGACCTCAGGTGATCCACCTGCATCAGCCTCCCAAAGTGCTGGGATTACAGGTGTGAGCCACCACACCTGGCCCTGAGAAACTTTTCAAAAACAGCAGAAACCCAGAAGTCCTTAGATCACATATATGATTACATTCATGAGCTAAACAGTGCAAGAAATGTACAAGATTATGTTGGAATGTTCCATCTCAGAAAAAAAAAAAAAAGAACAACAGCTACAGTGGTGGAGGCTGCAGTGAACAGAGATCATGCTACTTGTCACCCCAGCCTGGGCGACAAGAGTGAGACTCTGTCTCAAAAAAAAAAAAAAAATCTACACAACCAGTGTGATGATTTTTGGAATGTCAGGAACATTGAGGACTATATTTTGGAAGTGAACAGAAAGGAGAATTTATGCAGTCTGGAGGCCATGAGTGATTGTAGCTGTTTTTTCTTTTTTCTTTTTTGAGACAGAGTCTTGCTCTGTCACCCAGGCTGGAGTGCAGTGGCGAAATCTCGGCTCACCACAAGCTCCTCCTCCCAGGTTCACACCATTCTCCTGCGTCAGCCTCCCGAGTAGCTGGGACTACAGGCGCCCGCCACCATGCCAGGCTAATTTTTTTTTTCTTTTTTTTGTATTTTTAGTAGAGACGAGATTTCACCACGTTAGCCAGGATGATCTCGATCTCCTGACCTTGTGATCCACCCGCCTCAGCCTCCCAAAGTGCTGGGATTACAGGCGTGAGCCACCGCACCTGGCCAATTCTGGCTGTTTTTTCAAGTTGGCATAGAGATAAGGCGATTATCTACATTAGTTGTATACCAAGTGCCAACTGTTGTGTTCATTCTTTTCAGTAAAGATACTACATTTAGAACAACAGCTGGCCAGGCCCGGTGGCTCACACCTGTAATCCCAGCACCTTGGGAGGTCAAGGCGGGCAAATCACTTGAGGTCAGGAGTTCAAGACCAGCCTAGCCCATATAGTGAAACCCCATCTTTACTAAAAATACAAAACTTAGCCACTCGTGGTGGCACAAAAAAAAAAAAAAGAAAAGAAAAGAATAATAGACAATCAGGCCGCACGGTGGCTCAAGCCTGTATCCCAGCACCTTGGGGGGCGGGGGCGGATGGTCACGAGGGAGTCGGGGGGGAGTTCGAGACTCGGGGGCTCACCCCGTCTCTATAAATAATCAAAAAACTAAGCCGGGCGTGGTGGCGGGCGCCTGTACCAGAAGGGTCACTCGAGGCTGAAGGCAGGAGAATGGCGTGAAGCCTGGAAGGCGGAGCTTGCAGTGAGCCGAGATCCGCGCCCCGCACTCCAGCCTGGGTGACAACAGCGCGAGACTCCGTCTCCAAAAAAAAAAAAAAAAAAAAAAAAGAAAATATACGACAATAAAGAGAGTGGACCCCTGCGAGCTGACGCCATAATTCTGGGGACCACCAAAAGACCACTGTGGGCCACCTTACCCAAAGTGGAAAGCTCGGTAAGTCAGGTGGCAGATGGTGAGCTTGAACACTTGTACTTATTGAGGGCCCACTTGAACTATGGACCCCTTGTCCATGAATTTTTCTCTCCCAGTTCCTGAAATATATAATTGAAATACAGAATTTTTGGGAA